ATTTGGGCCAATTTGTTTTCGGATGGCATTTTTGTAATTTTTCGGCGACGAAATTCCGTTTTATTTGGATATTGGAGTCTACAGATCATGGATTCAGCCTGAGGCTATTCTTCAACGATGATTAAGTCCATTTAGCACCGATTTGGGTGGATTTATTTTGGGTCAATTTTTGGAAGATTCCAAAGGTGTAGCATCACATGTTTCGTGCTTTTTTCCGAAATGCCATTTTCTTTCGATTCTGGAGGCTACACATCACGGAATAAGGTCGAGGCTATTCTCCACCGATATTGAAGTCTATTGATCATATTTCCACGGATAATAAGCAAATTAAGCACCGATTTGAGCCAATTTATTTTCGGATGGTATTTCATAATTTTTTGAGAGACGAAAGTCCATTTTCTTTGGATATTGAAGGCTACAGATCACGGATTCGGCATGATGCTACTCTTCAACGATGATTAAGGTCATTAAGCACCAATTTGGGCGGATTTATTCCGGTTGGCAGATTCCAAAGGGGTACCATCACAAATTTTAGGCGATTTTTCCGAAATGCCATTTTCTTTCGATTCTGGAGGCGAGAGATCACGGAATCCGGTCGAGGCTATTCTCCACCTATAATGAAGTCTATTCATCCTATTCTCCGGGGATGATAAGCCCATTAAGCACCGATTTGGGCCAATTTGTTTTCGGATGGCATTTTCGTAATTTTTGGGCGACGAAATGCCATTTTCTTTGGATATTGAAGGCTACAAATCACGGATTCGGCCTGAGGCTATTCTTCAACGATGATTAACTCCATTAAGCACCGATTTGGGCGGATTTAGTCCGGCTCAATTTTTGGCAGATTCCAAAGGGGTACCATCACACGTTTCGGGCGATTTTTCCGAAACACCATTTTCTTTCGATTCTGTAGGCTACACATCACGGAATCAGGCGGAGGCTATTCTCCACTGATAATGAAGTCTATTGATCCTATTCTCCAAGGTTGATAAGCAAATTAAGCACTGATTTGAGGCAATTTATTTTCGGATGGCATTTTCGTAATTTTTTGGGAGACGAAAGGTCATTTTCTTTGGATATTGAAGGCTACAGATCACGGATTCGGCCTGAGGCTATTCTTCAACGATGATTAAGTCCATTAAGCACCGATTTGTGCGAATTTATTCCGGGTCAATTTTTGGCAGATTCAAAAGGGGTACCATCACAGATTTCGGGCGATTTTTGTTAAATGCCATTTTCTTTCGATTCTAGAGGGTATAGATCACGGAATCAGGCCGAGGCTATTCTCCACCTATAATGAAGTCTATTCATCATATTCTCCAGTGATGACAACCCCATGAAGCAACGATTTGGGCCAATTTGTTTTCGGATTGCATTTTCGTAATTTTTTGGCGACGAAATGTCATTTTCTTTGGATATTGAAGCTACAAATCACGGATTCGACCTGAGGCTATTCTTCAACGATGATTAAGTCCATTAAGCACCGATTTGGGCGGATTTATTCCGGGTCAATTTTTGGCAGATTCCAAAGGGGTACCATCACACATTACGAGAGACTTTTCCGAAATGCCATTTTCTTTCGTTTCTGGAGGCTACACATCACGGAATTAGGCCGAGGCTATTCTCCACAGATAATGAAGTCTATTCATCATATTCTCGAGGGATGATAAGACCATTAAGCACCGATTTGGGCCAACTTATTTTCGGATGGCATTTTCGTACTTTTTTGGGTGACGAAAGACAATTTTCTTTGGACATTGAAGGATACAGATCACGGATTCGGCCTGAGGCTATTTTTCAACGATGATTAAGTCCATTAAGCACCGATTTGGGCAGATTTATTCCGGGTCAATTTCTGGCAGATTCCAAAGGGGTACCATCACAGATTTTGGGCGATTTTCCCGAAAATCTATTTTCTTTCGATTCTGGAGGCTACACATCACGGAATCAGGCAGAGGTTATTCTCCACCGATAATGAAGTCTATTGATCATATTTCCACGGATAATAAGCAAATTAAGCACCGATTTGAGCCAATTTATTTTCGGATGGCATTTTCGTAATTTTTTGGGAGACGAAAGTCCATTTTCTTTGGATATTGAAGGCTACAGATCACGGATTCGGCATGATGCTACTCTTCAACGATGATTAAGTCCATTAAGCACCGATTTGTGCGGATTTATTCCGGTTGGCAGATTCCAAAGGGGTACCATCACAAATTTTAGGCGATTTTTCCGAAATGCCATTTTCTTTCTATTCTGGAGGCGACAGATAAGGGAATCCGGTCGAGGCTATTCTCCACCTATAATGAAGTCTATTCATCCTATTCTCCGGGGATGATAAGCCATTAAGCACCGATTTGGGCCAATTTGTTTTCGGATGGCATTTTCGTAATTTTTGGGCGACGAAATGCCATTTTCTTTGGATATTGTAGGCTACAGATCACGGATTCGGCCTGAGGCTATTCTTCAACGATGATTAAGTCCATTAAGCACCGATTTGGGCGGATTTAGTCCGGCTCAATTTTTGGGAGATTCCAAAGGGGTACCATCACACGTTTCAGGCGATTTTTCCGAAATACCATTTTCTTTCGATTCTGTATGCTACACATCACGGAATCAGGCCGAGGCTATTCTCCACTGATAATGAAGTCTATTGATCCTATTCTCCAAGGTTGATAAGCAAATTTTGCACTGATTTGAGGCAATTTATTTTCGGATGGCATTTTCGTAATTTTTTGGGAGACGAAAGGTCATTTTCTTTGGATATTGAAGGCTACAGATCACGGATTCGGCTTGAGGCTATTCTTAAACGATGATTAAGTCCATTAAGCACTGATTTGTGGGGATTTATTCCGGGTCAATTTTTGGTAAATTCGAAAGGGGTACCATCACAGATTTTGGGCGATTTTTGTTAAATGCCATTTTCTTTCGATTCTGGAGACTACACATCACGGAATCAAGCCGAGGCTATTCTCCACCGATAATGAAGTCTATTGATCATATTATCCAGGGATGATAAGCAAATTAAGCACCGATTTGAGCCAATTTATTTTCAGATGGCATTTTCGTAATTTTTTAGGCGACGAAAGGCCATTTTCTTTGGATATTGATGGCTACAGATCACGGATTCGGCCTGAGGCTATTCTTCAACGATGATTAAGTCCATTAAGCACCGATTTGGGAGGATTTATTCCGGGTCAATTTTTGGCAGATTCCAAAGGGTCACCGATTTCAGCCGATTTTTCTGAAATGTCATTTTTTCCGATTCTGGAAGCTACAGATCACGGAATCATGCCGAGGCTATTCTCCAGCGATAATGAAATCTATTCATCCTATTCTCCATCCATTAAGCACCGATTTGGGGCAATTTGTTTTCAGATGGCATTTTTGTGATTTTTGGGCGACGAAATGCCATTTTCATTGGATATTGAAGGCTACAGATCACAGATTCCGCCTGAGGCTATTTTCAACGATGATTAAGTCCATTTAGCATCGATTTGGGTGGATTTATTTTGGGTCAATTATTGGCAGATTCCAAAGGTGTACCATCACATATTTCGGCCCATTTTTCTGAAATGTCATTTTCTTTCGATTCTGGAGGCTACAGATCACGAAATCAGGCCGAGACTATTCACAACAGATAATGAAGTCTATTCATCCTATTCTCGAGGGATCATAAGCCCATTAAGCACCGATTCGGGCCAACTGATTTTCGGATGGATACAAATCATGGATTCGGCCTGAGGCTATTCTTCAACGATGATTAAGTCCATTAAGCCCCGATTTGGGAGAATTTATTCCGGGTCAATTTTTGGCAGATTCCAAAGGGGTACCTTCACACATTTCGGGCGATTTTTCGCAAATGCCATTTTCTTTCCATTCTGGAGGCGACACATTACGGAATCACCCCGAGGCTATTCTCCACCGTTAATGAAGTCTATTGATCCTATTATCCAGGGATGATATGCAAATTAAGCACTGATTTGGGCCAATTTATTTTTGGATGGCATTTTCGTAATTTTTTGGGAGACGAAAGGTTATTTTCTTTGGATATTGAAGGCTACAGATCACGGATTCAGACTGAGGCTATTATTCAACGATGATTAAGACCATTAACCACCGATTTATGAGGATTTATTCCGGGTCAATTTTTGGCATATTCCAAAGGGGTACCATCACAGATTTCACGTGATTTTTTCGAAATGCCATTTTCTTTCTATTCTGGAGGCTACTGATCACGGAATCAGGCCGAGGCTATTCGCCACCTATAATGAAGTCTATTTATCCTATTCTCCAGGGATGATAACCCCATGAAGCACCGATTTGTGCCAATTTGTTTTCGGCTGGCATTTTCGTAATTGGGCTACGAAATGCCATTTTCTTTGGATATTGAAGGCTACAGATCACGGATTCGGCCTGAGGCTATTCATCAACGATGATTAAGTCCATTTAGCACCGATTTGGGCGGATTTATTCCGGGTCAATTTTGGAAGATTCCAAAGGGGTACCATCACAGATTTCGGGCGATTTTTCCGAAATACCATTTTCTTTCGATTTTGGAGGCTACAGATCACGGAATCAGGCCGAGGCTATTCTCCACCTATAATGAAGTCTATTCATCCTATTCTCCAGGGATAATAAGCCCATTAAGCACCGATTTGGGCCAATTTGTTTTAGGATGACATTTTCATAATTGGGCTACGAAATGCCATTTTCTTTGGATATTGAAGGCTACAGATCACAGATTCGGCCTGAGGCTATTCTTCAACGATGATTAAGTCCATTTAGGACCGATTTTGGCGGATTTATTCCGAGTCAATTTTGGCAGATTCCAAAGGGGTACCATCACAGATTTCGAGCGTTTTTCCGAAATGTCATTTTCTTTCAATTCTGGAGGCTACACATCACGGAATCAGGCCGAGGCTATTCTCCACCGATAATGAAGTCTATTTAGCCTATTCTCCAGGAATTATAAACAAATTAAGCACCGATTTGAGCCAATTTATTTTCGGATGACATTTTCGTAATTTTTTGGGCGACGAAAGGTCATTTTCTTTGGATACTGAATGTTACAGATCACATATTCAGCCCGAGGATATTCTTCAACGATGATTAAATCCATTAAACACAGCTTTGGTCGTATTTATTCCATGTCAATTTTTGGCAGATTCCAAAGGGGTACCATTACAAATTTCGGGCAATTTTTGTAAATGCCATTTTCTTTCAATTCAGGAGGCTACACATTACGGAATCAGGCCGAGCCTACTCTCCACCGATAATGAAGTCTATTGATCCTATTCTCCAGGGATGATAAGCAAATTAAGCACCGATTTGAGCCAATTTATTTACGGATGGCATTTTCGTTATTTTTTGGGCGACGAAATGTCGTTTTCTTTGCATATTGAAGGCAACAGATCACGGATTCGGCTGAGGCTATTTTTCAATGATGATTAAGTCCATTAAACACCGATTTGTGCGGATTTATTCCGGGTCAATTTTTGGCAGATTCCAAAGGGGTACCATCACAGATTTCAGACGATTTTTCCGAAATGCCATTTTCTTTCGATTCTGGAGGCTACAGATCACGGAATCAGGCCGAGGCTATTCTCCAGCGATAATGAAGTCTATTCATCCTATTCTCCAGGGATAATATGTCCATTAAGCACCGATTTGGGCCAATTTGTTTTCGGATGGCATTTTCGTTATTTTTGTGCAACGAAATGTCATTTTCTTTGGATATTGAAGGCTACAGATCACGGATTCGGCCTGAGGCTATTCTTCAACGATGATTAAATCCATTAAGCACTAATTTGGGCGGATTTATTCCGGGTCAATTTTTTGCAAATTCCAAAGGGGTACCATCACATATTTCGTGCGATTTTTCTGAAATGCCATTTTCTTTCGATTATGGAGGCTACAGATCACCAAATCAGGCCGAGGCTATTCTCCACCAATAATGAAGTCAACTGATCCTATTCTTCAGGGATGTTAAGCCCATTAAGCGCCGATTTGGGCCAATATATTTTTGGATGGCATTTTCGTAATTTTTTGGACGACAAATGGCCATTTTTTTGGAAATTGAAGGCAACAGATCACGGATTCGGCCTGAGGCTCTTCTTCAACAATGATTATGTCCATTTAGCACCGATTTTGGAGGATTTATTCCGGGGTAATTTTGGCAGATTCCAAAGGAGTACCATCACAGATTTTGGACGTTTTTCCGAAATGTCATTTTCTTTAGATTCCGGAAGCTACAAATCACTGAATGAGGCCGAGGCTATTCTCCACCGATAATGAAGTCTATTCATCCTATTATCCAGGGATGATAAACCCATTAAGCACCGATTTGGGCCAATTTGTTTTTGGATGGCATTTTCGTAATTTTTCGGCGATGAAATTCCATTTTCTTTGGATATTGGAGGCTTCAAATCATGGATTCAGCCTGAGGCTATTCTTCAACGATGATTAAGTCCATTTAGCACCGATTTGGGTGAATTTATTTTGGGTCAATTTTTGGAAGATTCCAAAAGTGTAGCATCACATGTTTCGTGCTTTTTTCCGAAATGCCATTTTCTTTCGATTCTGGAGGCTACACATCACGGAATAAGGTCGAGGTTATTCTCCACCGATATTGAAGTCTATTGATCATATTCTCCAGTGATGATAACCCCATGAAGCAGCGATTTGGGCCAATTTGTTTTCGGATTGCATTTTCGTAATTTTTTGGCGACGAAATGTCATTTTCTTTGGATATTGAAGCTACAGATCACGGATTCGACCTGAGGCTATTCTTCAACGATGATTAAGTCCATCAAGCACCGATTTGGGCGGATTTATTCCGGGTCAATTTTTGGCAGATTCCAAAGGGGTACCATCACACATTACGAGCGATTTTTCCGAAATGCCATTTACTTTCGTTTCTGGAGGCTACACATCACGGAATCAGGCCGAGGCTATTCTCCACAGATAATGAAGTCTATTCATCCTATTCTCGAGGGATGATAAGACCATTAAGCACCGATTTGGGCCAACTAATATTCGGATGGCATTTTCGTAAATTTTTGGGTGACGAAAGACAATTTTCTTTGGACATTGAAGGATACAGATCACGGATTCGGCCTGAGGCTATTCTTCAACGATGATTAAGTCCATTAAGCACCGATTTGGGCGGATTTATTCCGGGTCAATTTTTGGCAGATTCCAAAGGGGTACCATCACAGATTTCGGGCGATTTTTCTGAAATTCAATTTTCTTTCGATTCTGGAGGATACACATCACGGAATCATGCCGAGGCTATTCTCCACCGATAATGAAGTCTATTGATCATATTTCCACGGATAATAAGCAAATTAAGCACCGATTTGAGCCAATTTATTTTCGTATGGCATTTTCGTAATTTTTTGGGAGACGAAAGTCCATTTTCTTTGGATATTGAAGGCTACAGATCACGGATTCGGCATGATGCTACTCTTCAACGATGATTAAGTCCATTAAGCACCGATTTGGGCGGATTTATTCCGGTTGGCAGATTCCAAAGGGGTACCATCACAAATTTTAGGCGATTTTTCCGAAATGCAATTTTCTTTCGATTCTGGAGGCGACAGATCACGGAATCCGGTCGAGGCTATTCTCCACCTATAATGAAGTCTATTCATCCTATTCTCCAGGGATGATAAGCCATTAAGCACCGATTTGGGCCAATTTGTTTTCGGATGACATTTTCGTAATTTTTGGCCGACGAAATGCCATTTTCTTTGGATATTGAAGGCTACAGATCACGGATTCGGCCTGAGGCTATTCTTCAACGATTATTAAGTTCATTAAGCACCGATTTGGGTGGATTTAGTCCGGCTCAATTTTTGGCAGATTCCAAAGGGGTACCATCACACGTTTCGGGCGATTTTTCCGAAATACCATTTTCTTTCGATTCTGTAGGCTACACATCACGGAATCAGGCGGAGGCTATTCTCCACTGATAATGAAGTCTATCGATCCTATTCTCCAGGGTTGATAAGCAAATTAAGCACTGATTTGAGGCAATTTATTTTCGGATGGCATTTTCGTAATTTTTTGGGAGACGAAAGGTCATTTTCTTTGGATATTGAAGGCTACAGATCACGGATTCGTCCTGAGGCTATTCTTCAACGATGATTAAGTCCATTAAGCACCGATTTGTGCGGATTTATTCCAGGGTCAATTTTTGGCAGATTCGAAATGGGTACCATCACAGATTTCGGGCGATTTTTGTTAAATGTCATTTTCTTTCGATTCTGAAGATTACACATCACGGAATCAGGCCGAGGCTATTCTCCACCGATAATGAAGGCTATTGATCCTATTCTCCAGGGATGATAAGCAAATTAAGGACCGATTTGAGCCAATTTATTTGCAGATGACATTTTCGTAATTTTTTTGGCGACGAAAGACCATTTTCTTTGGATATTGATGGCTACAGATCACGGATTTGGCCTGAGGCTATTCTTCAACGATGATTAAGTCCATTAAGCACCAATTTGGGAGGATTTATTCCGGGTCAATTTTTGGCAGATTCCAAAAGGTCACCGATTTCGGCCGATTTTTCTGAAATGTCATTTTCTTTCGATTCTGGAAGCTACATATCACGGAATCATGCCGAGGCTATTCTCCAGCGATAATGAAATCTATTCATCCTATTCTCCACCCATTAAGCACCGATTTGGGCCAATTTGTTTTCGGATGACATTTTCGTGATTTTTGGGCGACGAAATGCCATTTTCATTGGATATTGAAGGCTACAGATCACAGATTCGGCCTGAGGCTATTCTTCAACGATGATTAAGTCCATTTAGCACCAATTTGGGTGGATTTATTCTGTGTCAATTATTGGCAGATTCCAAAGGGGTACCATCACACATTTCAGGCCATTTTTCTGAAATGTCATTTTCTTTCGATTCTGGAGGCTACAGATCACGAAATCAAGCCGAAACTATTCAGAACAGATAATGAAGTCTATTCATCCTATTCTCGAGGGATCATAAGACCATTAAGCACCGATTCGGGCCAACTTATTTTCGGATGGCATTTTCGTAATTTTTTGGGTGACGAAAGACCATTTTCATTGGATATTGAAGGATACAGATCATGGATTCGGCTTGAGGCTATTCTTCAACGATGATTAAGTCCATTAAGCCCCGATTTGGGCGGACTTATTCCGGGTCAATTTTTGGCAGATTCCCAAATGGGTACCATCACACATTTCGGGCGATTTTTCGTAAATGCCATTTTCTTTCCATTCTGGAGGCGACACATCACGGAATCAGCCCGAGGCTATTCTCCACCGATAATGAATTCTATTGATCCTATTATCCAGTGATGATAAGCAAATTAAGCACTGATTTGGGCCAATTTATTTTTGGATGGCATTTTCGTAATTTTTTGGGAGACGAAAGGCCATTTTCTTTGGATATTGAAGGCTACAGATCACGGATTCGGACTGAGGCTATTTTCAACGATGATTAAGACCATTAACCACCGATTTGTGCGGATTTATTCCGGGTCAATTTTTGGTATATTCCAAAGGGGTACCATCACAGATTTCAGGCGATTTTTCTGAAATGTCATTTTCTTTCGATTATGGAGGCTACAGATCACGGAATCAGGCCGAGGCTATTCTCCACCGATAATGAAGTCTATTCATCCTATTTTCCAGGGATGATAAGCCCATTAAGCACCGATTTGGTCCAATTTGTTTTCGGATGGCATTTTCGTAATTTTTGTGTGATGAAATGCCATTTTCTTTGGATATTGAAGGCTACAGATCACGGATTCGGCCTGAGGCTATTCTTCAACGATGATTAAGTCCATTAAGCACCGATTTGGGCGGATTTATTCCGGGTCAATTTTTGGGAGATTCCAAAGGGGTACCATCACAGATCTCAGGCGATTTTTTGGAAATGCCATATTCTTTTTATTCTGGAGGCTACAAATCACGGAATCAGGCCGAGGCTATTCGCCACCTATAATGAAGTCTATTTATCCTATTCTCCAGGGATGATAACCCCATGAAGCACCGATTTGGGCCAATTTGTTCTCGGCTGGCATTTTTGTAATTGGGCTACGAAATGCCATTCTCTTTGGATATTGAAGGCTACAGATCACGGATTCGGCCTGAGGCTATTCATCAACGATGATTAAGTCCATTTAGCACCGATTTGGGTGGATTTATTCCGGGTCAATTTTGGAAGATTCCAAAGGGGTACCATCACAGATTTCGGGCGATTTTTCCGAAATGGCATTTTCTTTCGATTTTGGTGGCTACAGATCACGGAATCAGGCCGAGGCTATTCTCCACCAATAATGAAGTCTATTCATCCTATTCGCCAGGGATGATAAGCCCATTAAGCACCGATTTGGGCCAATTTGTTTTCGGATGGCATTTTCGTTAGTTTTGTGCAACGAAATACCATTTTCTTTGGATATTGAAGGCTACTGATCACGGATTCGGCCTGAGCCTATTCTTCAACGATGATTAAGTCCATTAAGCACCAATTTGGGAGGATTTATTCTGGGTCAATTTTTGGCAGATTCCAAAGGGGTACCATCACAGATTTCGGGAGATTTTTCTTAAATGCCATTTCCTTTCGATTCTGGAGGCTATAGATCATGGAATCAGGGCGAGGCTATTCTCCAGCGATAATGAAGTCTATTCATCCTATTCTCCAGGGATAATATGCCCATTAAGCACCGATTTGGGCCAATTTGTTTTCGGATGGCATTTTCGTTATTTTTGTGCAACGAAATGCCATCTTCTTTGGATATTGAAGGCTACAGATCACGGATTCGGCCTGAGGCTATTCTTCAATGATGATTAAATCCATTAAGCACTAATTTGGGCGGATTTATTCCGGGTCAATTTTTTGCAAATTCCAAATGGGTACCATCAAAGATTTCGGGCGATTTTTCTGAAATGCCATTTTCTTTCGATTATGGAGGCTACAGATCACGGAATCAGGCCGAGGCTATTCTCCACCAATAATGAAGTCAAATGATCCTATTCTCTAGGGATGTTAAGCCCATTAAGCACCGATTTGGGCCAATATATTTTCGGATGGCATTTTCGTAATTTTTTGGACGACAAAAGGCCATTTTTTTTTGGAAATTGAAGGCAACAGATCACGGATTCGGCCTGAGGCTATTCTTCAACAATGATTAAGTCCATTAAGCTTTGATTTGGTCGGATTTATTCCGGGTCCATTTTTGGCAGATTCAAAAGAGGTACCATCACAGATTTCGGCGATTTTTTCCGAAATGTCATTTGCTTTCGAATCTGGAGGCTACAGATCACGGAATCAGGCCGAGGCTATTCTCCAGCGATAATGAAGTCTATTCATCCTATTCTCCAGGGATAATATGCCCATTAAGCACCGATTTGCGCCAATTTGTTTTCGGATAGCATTTTTGTTATTTTTGTGCAACGAAATGCCATTTTCTTTGGATATTGAAGGCTACAGATCACGGATTCGGCCTGAGCCTATTCTTCAACGATGATTAAGTCCATTAAGCACCGATTTGGGCGGATTTATTCCGGGTCAATTTTTGGCAGATTCCAAAGGGGTACCATCACAGATTTCGGGAGATTTTTCTTAAATGCAATTTCCTTTCGATTCTGGAGGCTACAGATCAAGGAATCAGGCCGATGCTATTCTCCGCCGATAATGAAGTTAATTGATCCTATTCTCCAGGGAAGATAAGCACATTAAGCACCAATTTGGGCCAATATATTTTCGGATGGCATTTTCGTAATTTTTGGGCGACGAAAGGCCATTTTCTTTGGATATTGAAAGCTGCATATCACTTATTTGGTCTGAGGCAATTCTTCAACGATGATTAAGTCTATTAAGCACCGATTTGGGCGGATTTATTCTGTGTCAATTTTTGACTGATTCCAAAGGGGTACCATCACAGATTTCGGGCGAATTTTCCGAAATGCCATTTTCTTTTGATTCTGGAGGCTACAGATAACAGAATCAGACCGAGGCTATTCTCCACATATGATGAAGTCTATTCATCTTATTCTCCAGGGATGATAAGCCCATTAAGCCCCTATTTGGGCCAATTTATTTTCGAAAGGTATTTTCGTAATTTTTGGGCGACGGAATGCCATTTTCTTTGGATATTGAAGGCTATCGATCACGGATTCGGTTTGAGGTTAATTTTCAACGATGATTAAATCCATTAAGCACTGATTTGCGCGGATTTATTCTGGGTCAATTTTTTGCAGATTCCAAAGGGGTACCATCACAGATTTCAGGCGATTTTTGTGAAATGCCATTTTCTTTCGATTATGGAGGCTACATATCACGAAATTAAGCCAAGGCTATTCTCCACCGACAATGAAGTCAACTGATCCTATTCTCGAGGGATGATAAGCCCATTAAGCACCGATTTGGGCCAATTTATTTTCGGATGGCATTTTCGTAATTTTTTGGGCGATGAAAGGCCATTTTCTTTGGATATTGAAGGCTACAGATCACGGATTCGGCCTGAGGCTATTCTTCAACGATGATTAAGTCCATTAAGCACCAATTTGTGCTGATTTATTCCGGATCATTTTTTGCCAGATTCCAAAGGTGTACAATCACATATTTCAGCCAATTTTTTGGAAATGCCATTTTCTTTCGATTCTGGAGGCTACAGATCACGAAATCAGGCCAAGGCTATTCTCTACCGATAATGAAGTCTATTGGTCCTATTCTCTAGGGATGATAAACACATTAAGCACCGATTGGGGCCAATTTATTTTTGGATGACATTTTCGTAATTTTTTGGGTGATGAAAGGCCATGTTCTTTGGATATTGAAGACTACAGATCACGGATTCGGCCTGAGGCTATTCTTCAACGATGATTATTTACATTAAGCACCGATTTGGGCGGATTTATTCTGGGTCAATTTTTGGCAGATTCCAAAGGGGTAACATCACAGATTTCGGGCGATTTTTCCGAAATGCCATTTTCTTCTTATTCTGGATGAGACAGATCATGGAATCAGGCTGATGTTATTATCCACTGATAATGAAGTCTATTCTCCACTGATAATGAAATCTATTGATCCTATTCTCCAGGGATGTTCAGCCCATTAAGCACCGATTGGGGCCAATTTGTTATCGGATGGCATTTTCCTAATTTTTGGGCGACGAAATGCCATTTTCTTTTGATATTGAAGGCTACAGATTACGGATTCGATCTAAGGCTATTCTTCAACATGATTAAATCCATTAAGCACTAATTTGGGAGGATTTATTTCGGGTCAAATTTTGACAGATTCCAAAGGGAGTTCCATCACAGATTTTGGGCGATTTTTCCGAAATGCCATTTTCTTTCGATTCTGGAGGCTACATATCACGGAATCAGACCGAGCCAATTCTCCACCGATATTGAAGTCAATTGATCCTATTCTCCAGGGATGATAAACCCATTAAGCACCGATTTGGGCCAATATATTTTTCGGATGGCATTTTCGTAATATTTTGGGCGACGAAAGACCATTTTCTTTGGATATTGAAGGCTACAGATCACGGATTCGGCCTGAGACTATTCTTCAACGATGATTAAGTCCATTAAGCACCGATTTGGGCGTATTTATTCCGGGTCAATTTTTGGCCGATTCCAAAGGGGTACCATCACAGATTTCGGGCGATTTTTCCGAAATGTCATTTTCTTTCGATTCTGGAGGCTACAGATCACGGAATCAATTAGTGGCTATTCTTCCCCGATAATGAAGTCTATTGGTCCTTTTCTCTAGGGATGATAAGCCCATTAAGCACCGATTTGGGCCAATTTATTTTCGGATGGCATTTTCGTAAATTTTTGGTCAATGAAAGGCCTTTTTCTTTGGATATTGAAGGTTACAGATCACGGATTCGGCCTGAGGCTATTCTTCAACGATGATTAAGTCCATTAAGCACCGATTTGGGCGGATTTATTCCGGATCATTTTTTGGCAGATTCCAAAGGGGTACCATCACAGATTTCGGGTGATTTTTCCGAAATCTATTTTCTTTCGGTTCTAGAGGCTACAGATCACGAAATCAGGCCGAGGCTATTCTCCACTGATAATGAAGTCTATTGATCCTATTCTCCTGGGATGATAAGCCAATTAAGCACACATTTGGGCCAATTTATTTTTAGATGGCATTTTCGTAATTTTTTGGGCGACGGAAGTCAATTTTCATTGGATAATGAAGGCTACAGATCACGGATTCGGCCTAAGCCTATTCTTCAACGATGATTAAGTCCATTATTCACCAATTTGGACGGATTTATTTTGGGTCAATTTTTGGCAGATTCCAAAGGGGTACCATCACAGATTTCAGCGATTTTTCTGAAATGCCATTTTCTTTCGATTCTGAAGGCTACAAATCATGGAATCAGGCCGAGGCTATTCTCCGCCGATAATGAAGTTGATTGATCCTATTCTCCAGGGATGATAAGCCCATTCAGCACCGATTTGGGCCAATTTATTTTTGGATGGCATTTTCGTAATTTTTTGGGCGACGAAAAGGCCATTTTCTTTGGATATTGTAGGCTACAGATCACGGATTCGGCCTGAGGCTATTCTTCAACGATGATTAAGTCCATTATGCACCAATTTGGACAGATTTATTTCGGGTCAGTTTTTGACAGATTCCAAAGGGGTACCATCACAGATTTCAACAATTTTTCCGAAATGCCATTTTCTTTCGATTCTGGAGGCTACAGATCACGGAATCAGGCCGAGGCTAATCTCCACTGATAATGAAGTCTATTGATCTGATTCTCCAGGGACAATATGCCCATTTAGCACCGATTTGGGCCAATTTATTTTCGGATGACATTTTCGTAATTTTTTGGGCGACGAAAGGCCATTTTCTTTGGATATTGTAGGCTATAGATCACGGATTCGGCCTAAGCCTATTCTTCAACGATGATTAAGTCCATTAAGCAACGATTTGGGCGGATTTATTCTCGATCAATTTTTGGCCGATTCCAAAGGGGTACCATCACAGATTTTGGGCGATTTTTCCGAAATGTCATTTTCTTTTGATTCTGGAGGCTACAGATCACGGAATCAGGCCGAGGCTATTCTCCACCGATAATGAAGTCAATTGATCCTATTCTCCAGGGATGATAAGCCCATTAAGCATCGATTTGTGCCAATATATTTTCGGATGGCATTTTCGTAATTTTTTGGGCGACGAAAGGCCATTTTCTTTGGACATTGAAGGCTACAGATCACGAATTCGGCCTAAGCCTATTTTTCAACGATGATTAAGTCCATTAATCACTGATTTGGGCGGATTTGTTCCCGGTCAATTTTTGGCCGATTCCAAAGGGGTTCCATCACAGATTTTGGGCGATTTTTCCGAAATGTCATGTTCTTTCGATTCTGGAGGCTACAGATCACGGAATCAGGTCGAGGCTATTCTCCACTGATAATAAAGACTATTGATCCTATTCTCCAGGGACGATAAGTCCATTAAGCACCGATTTGGGCCAATTTATTTTCGGATATCATTTTCATAATTTTTTGGTGCACGAAAGGCCATTTTCTTTGGATATTGAAGGCTACAGATCACGGATTTGGCCTAAGGCTATTCTTCAACGATGATTAAGTCTATTAAGCACCGGTTTGGGCGGATTTATTCCGGGTCAATTTTTGGCAGATTCCAAAGGGGTACCATCACAGATTTCGGGCGTTTTTCTGAAATGTCATTTTCTTTCGATTTTGGTGGCTACAGCTCACAGAATCTGGTCGCGGCTATTCTCCACATATAATGAAGTCTATTGACCTATTCTTTAGGGATGATAAGCCCATTAAGCACCGATTTGGACCAATTTATTTTCGTGTGGCATTTTTGTAATTTTTTTGGCGACGAAAAGCCATTTTCTTTGGATATTGAAGGCTACAGATCACGAATATTGTCGGAGGTCCAGTTTGTTGTTCTTGATGAAGCAAACTAGATGCTTGCAGTTGGTTTTGTTGATGACTTTGAAAGTCTAGGGGTGGCTATACGGTCCGGTCCGGTTAAATTGGCCCGATTGATCCAGTCCAGTCTGGTCTTTTTGAAAATATAAGGACAAAGATTGGATTGGATACAGTCTGGTCTTGACTCGGTCCGGTCTCAATCCCTAAATATTTTGGTATCACAATCGATATTATCGAATACAAAATTAATTACCTTTGCGGTTAATAATTAAATATATAGATTTAATTTAATTGTTTAATTTAGGACAAATAGACTAAGCAACGAGTATTGAGTTTGCCTAGAGCTAGGATACCGAATAACACTTGAATTGAAAATGAATCTCAATCCTAATTTCTAAATAATAAGCCGGTATTCGATAATACCTAATAGTGATAAATTCGGTACGGTGTACAGTATACCCCAAATACCAGTACCAAATTTCGAGCCCTATATCAAGTATTGAACCCTTGACTTTTTGGATAATGAATAAGTATCATATCACTACACTAAATATTAATTCTTGTTTATTTTCAATTTTATTAATTTTAATTTTATTAATTAATTTTATTAGAAGAGGACACATGTATGATTGAATTCTGGCTTCGCCCCACTAATTACTTTGGACTTTGGTTGCTTTTATGCTGTTTTAACAGTTTTGCTGTAGGTTTATTGCTTTGGAGTATTTGTTTGAGGATGTGTAGATAGTTTCAGATACTGAGCTTGCTTGATCATAAAGTTCTTTACTTTTTTTTTTTTTTTTTTAACTCATCAAATGCCTGTCGTGGTTCGTTCGTCTGTTTGCTACGCAGACTCCTCAGTATGCATTCACTGTGCTAGTTCATGAATTTCCTTAGGAATTCAGTTTTGACTGGTTGGAGCTAGTTAGTGAAGTAATATGCTAGACCAGTCATAGGAAAACAAAGTATTCTTCATGCACAGACCTAAATGTATTGCTTACTTCAAACACGAATATTAGAAACAAATTGACAAAATCTTTAGGTCAGTAGACAGGAGAAACAATAGCATCTTTAGTTTCCAGAGATGCAAATGTTACTTTCAGCACGCTTCATTTCAAGATAAAACAGTAAAAGGCTAGCTCGAGAGCTTGATTCTGCTAAAATCTTCTACGCCCTGTTAGTACCTAAAATCTAAACCCTACTGTGTATATAAAACCATGTGATGAAGTTAATACGAACATCCATGCCGAGTTGGAGGAAAAAAAAAGAGTACTGCAGGAAAAAAATCTGTGTCCTCAGCTTACTGCAACTTTGACGATGGAGTTCTGTGCACGGCATTCCTTGCAGGGGGAAAACAAGGATCGGAACATTCTCCCTCCGAATGACCGCCTCTTCTTCTTCTTCTCCCCGGCTTTCCTTCCTTCGACAGTGTTGCTCCGAGCTGGCTGTTTCTTCTCACTGCAGATGAGAACTATGTCGACGGCAGCAGTCTTCTCTGTCCCATTCCCAGCTGAGATGGACACCCCAAAGAGAGGCAGCAGACGGCCGCTGCCTGCTGGCTCCCCCACGGTACAACTGAACTCAAACTCTTCATCATCCTGCTTCTTCTTCTTCTTCTTCTTGGTCATTTGACAATCTTGATTTCCAGGTTGCTGATCTTGAATCGACAGCAGGCCAGCAAACGAGAGAGACTCCCCCGACTCCATATCCGCTGCAGCATCCAGAGCCACCTTGTTTCGCCACAGCGGGGCCATTGCTTTTTTTTTCTTCTTCCTGTTGCAAGCCAGCTCTTTACACACACGTATATATATAGAGATGAAGGTAAAGCTTTCAGTTCTCCATTGTACGTACGTGCTGCCTGTTTGTTCTATAGCCGAGTCAGAGCATTTTTTTCGGACTCTTTTTTTTTTTTTTAATGAACAGCAAAACTAGGGTCTTCTCGTCTGATTATGTGCGTCGCCATCCCTTGCTTCTCAAGGAAAGAAGACAAGGCGTCAGGCCTGATCATTGGGATCATCGGAAATTCGAGGCCGTGGAGCAGAGCTTTTGTCTTCTGGTGCCCGATGCCGATATCTTGGGATATTAATGATTTACAAGCTACACATACCGACCGTGTTCTCTAGCTCACCTTTATATTTGCTACTTAGAAATAGACTCGTAGTAGAATAAGATTTAGAATCTACCTCGGAAACTACGACGGTGAATCTCCCTATGGAAATGGGGAAGGAATAATTCACGCAGAAGGTTAGAAGTCGCATTCTGTTGTTGTTCGTGTGGATGTGCATAGGTTAATTTGTCTGGTCTTGCTGGCTGGGGAGGACTTGGTTATGGCTTTGCTGTGGAAACGATGACAAATGTCGAGGCGCTAGCTGATCGTTGGTTGATGCTACTTTTGCTTCAAGAGATAGGTTGTACTTTGTACTCTGGCTTTAGTTTAGGGTCGGCACATAGGGCATGCAATTCCACAAAGTGTGACAACAATAACAGTACTAGACCACTTTCTAGCATTTACTAGGTGAGGCAGGCCGGGTATCGCAATATTAATAATTGATCGTGATGTGAGGCAGTACTCCGTACTCGTTTGTTAAACATGGTGTATGAGCAGGTTAATTTGGTATGTTGATTAGAAGCAAATGTTTCGTAGTACGTATTTCTCGTAACAGATTTGGGATAGTACGCGAGTTAGAAACAGGGTAAGGAGGTAAGACCCACATTGATAGTATAGTGTGTTGATACAAGCGCAACAGGATGCTCGGAGCAGGTCGGATCGTGCAGATCTGATCGAAATTATATGCAAACGAGAGGTGGGTTTTCGTGAGGCCAGACAAACGATATGTCGATTTTGCTTTCTGCAGTGTGTTTGGGTGGTAAATCGTATATACATTGGTAGCGGGCAGAAGGATTGTTGAGCAGCTGTGGGTTGCCTGTTATTTATTTTCAACAGCTGGAAGGCCCCTCAGCTTATGGGCTTTTTTCAGCTGGCCCAAATTTCCAGTTCTATGCGTGTTGCTAGCTGGTGAACCCATCGGAGTCTTCAACAAAATCATCTAATCCAAATTTATCTATTTCCCTTTCATAGGCAATTTGACTAGTTGTCTGGAAGGTAAACAAACGGACTCGTTGGGGGGGGGGGGAAAAAAATGAGAGATGCTCTGTCCTCTCTCCTTGCTCTCGACTCCTGGCTGGGTCGATGGGTTTTGCAGATCATCGGTGCAGCCCTGATCACTTGCATGCGCAATCAGGCGATAAAAGGTGGACGATCGCCAAGGAAAGAAGCAGTGCAGGTCAGCAATGGAGGCTGTGGCAGAGGTGAGGAGACGCGGGAGAAGGTGGTGCCTGGTGTACACCGCCGCGCTTGCATTAACCGACGCCTAGCAGCTGATCGGATCCATAGGAATAGAAGTCGAAATCGAAAACGCTCGACGGATGAGGGCGATTTTGACGCCATTCATAGGCAGAAATCCAAGAAATTCAAACAACGAACGGGAGGTGGGTGGAGATTCTGGCTGCCCGCTTCACTGGAGATGGATTGCGAAGTACTTTCCCCAGATTCATCTGTGGGAATGGATGTTCGCAGTCCAATTATTACGACGGATCTCAGGCGAAATAATAATCGCATGGTCCGACCTCAACCCTTCGGGGGAATCACTGGAAAAAACAAAAAAGAGTCATCTTTGATGTTGACAAAAGATGCCCCTCCTCTATGGTGCTTTATCGCCGGCGAAATCAGGTGCTCTCGGGCGTCCCAGACTGTCGTCGGCGGCCGAGCTCCCGATTTGGAGAGAGAAGGGGTAGATTGGGGCAGAGCTTTCCCGAATTTCCCGATCAGTTGGGGCGGGATCGGGGATTATCTTTCAGTTTTCCAAATCTGTCTCGTAACATAATATTGGGGGATAATCTAATAGTTGGGTTTCCTACTCCCAAACCAACTCTTCGGAAAAAGGTTAAGGAGAAAGCCCCACGTCTCTGTTTGGGTCAGACGCGCCCTCTCGGCTATATATTCCCCCTGGCTCGCTCAAACGCTTTTAGTTTGTGGAAAAGCCAAGTCGTGTTTTTGCGGGGGCCGAGAGTGGAGATTGCCCTTCAACAGACGAGTAGAGTTGCAAGTCCTACAGGTAATTGTTGTTCTCAATTCCCCAAGCCAGTAGGAGCCTGCTTGCCTTTACTTGATCTCAAGAACCGTACTCCTATTCTCACATGCCCATGGGTGCGTTCTACGCCCCGAGCAGGAAATATGGACCACGATTTTGTTTGTGCTGCTGATAACATGGTTCCGCTCCCTGCTTTGCAGTTTGCAAATATGGCACAAGCCGCAGATGATCAGGTGGTCCAGTTCTCCCTTGCGGAGGTTCAATCGATGAAGTTTAGAACTTCTCGGACTTTGTTGGGCAGGCTGTTCACTGAGCACCCGGTGAATCCTACGGAACTCCGGGATGCGCTGAGTGTTGCTTGGCAGGTGAAGGGCCAAATTCGGATATCCATATCAAAGTTTGGGCTCCTGGAGATAGGGCTGCCGACCGACGAAGTGCGGATTTGGGCTCTGAAACGGACTCCGTGGGTGGTGATGGATCGGATTCTTCATCTCCGTTCCTGGACCCCAAGAGTCACCAAACTCACTTTTGAGGAACTCGCCATAGCGTCGTTCCGTGTGCAGCTGTGGAATGTTAAGGAGGATTGCTGCACGAAACAATTCGGGCAGAAACTTGTCAGTGGTCCTATTGGGAAGGTCCTTGAAACTGGGGTATTTGCTTCAAACGAGACTAATGAGTGCTTTGTGAAAGTTCGCGCACTCATCGACTTTTCCAAACCACTCAGATCACAGCTCTTGGCCGCCAGTGAGGAGCTTGGGCGTTTCTGGGTTTACCTGAAATACGAGTTCCTTCCGAGCTTTTGTTATTCCTGTGGGCGAGTGGGTCACACGAAACCGGATTGTGCTTTTGACCCACCTAAGAGGAAGGAGCGCTTCGGGCCGCATATGTCAACAAAGAAACTCGGCCGGAAGCTGTATGATGATGATGATGGTCAGCATTTTCGCCAGGAACGTCCAACGGTTTGGCTTAATCGCGCTATTCGTGATCAGAAGGAGGAGGGGCGGATGGAAGACGGGGAGAGCATGGAGGAGGGTCACTCGACCCAATCACAGCCTGATACTCGCCCACGCCCCCACCAGGATCACAACTCGGTACCTGTTGGACCTAACCAGAAAGAGACCAAACAGAAGGGGAGGAATGGTGACACGAAAGTGGTCGATCGCCGGACCAGCCCTCGGTTATTCAATTTGCGCACCTCTCCAAGAATCCATCTGGGCAGGGCAGTACCAAAAGTAAGGGGAGGAGATCTCCGCGCGGTGCCTCCAGGAAACCGCAGAAAATTGCGGTGGCGGCAGAGAGCCGACCGAACAAGAGTCAGCAGAGACGAGAGGGGCCGACGGAGAAAGAGACTGTCCTTGCCCAAACTCGGCTGTGGCGCCTGATTTTGGCAGAAGAATCAGAGGAGGAAGGGGAGACTGCCGTGAGGAAGATGGAGGTAGGGCCTCGGCCCACTCTGATTCCCCAGCAGGGGCACTTGCCGAATGGGCCTCCAGCCCAAGGTGTGGGCCAGAAAGGGATGCCCTCTAATGGGCCCGCGGCAGATGAGCTGGAGGTGGCTGCTAGGCTGGGCTTGGTGCAGCATGATGGGCCCTGGCGGACTAGTCGCCGACTCCGCAAACAGGGCGTCTCGCCAGATCAAAAGAGGGAGGAGGGAAAGGACATGGGCCTGCAGGAAGAATCCTTGGTGGATGCGGGCCTCGGCCCACAGGAAGGGGTCTTGGACTCGGACGGGGAGGCCTCCCTGGATGCGAACGATGGTTTTGTGATAAGGAGGCGCTCGCCATCCTCCCCTCCCAAGCGGTCCCCACCAATCAGTGCAGGCCGAGTGGGCCGGCTGGTGGCGGCTTTTGATGGAGATGTGGAGACCGAGCCCACCAAGGGGGGTCCAAGTCTGGATCACGGGGGTTGTACCTCGTCCGGTCTGGTCAAGGATGGAGAAGATCAGCAGTTTGGCATGGTGGGTTCGGCCCAGCTAAATGAATATGGGTCCAACTTATCAAACCCGAACTTGGGAAACCGCAAAAGGGCGCTGGAAATGGTGGATGGTGAGGGAGGATTCCCTCCAACTCCGTAAAAACAATTTGTGGAAATTAATGATAGTGATCAACAGGTGAAGGTAGCCAGCCGTGAGTGGCCCTAGGGGGATAAATGAGACTTCTAGCCTGGAATGTGAGGGAATTGGACCATCACTCACATTCCAAACTGCAGTAGGTTTGATTCATTCAAATAAACCGGACTTGGTGTTCTTCTCAGAGACACGTTCGTGCCGGAGAGTAGTGACCCGTCGTATGCGGGGGTTAGGTTTTCTTCAGTCCCATTGTTTTTTTGTTGATGCAGTCGATGCATCTGGTGGTTTAGTAGCTGCTTGGTCGCCCGGAGTTGACGCTTCGGTGTTTTTTCATTCTAGCTTTTGTATTTGCATGCAAGTTAATGAAATCGACTTTTCCTATATTGTGGTCTTTGTTTATATTAGCTTGTAATGCGAGAATTCGTGAGGCCCAGCTAGCTCACTTGCGTGAAATCTGTGAGCAATTCCACCTTCCTTTTGTGGTCATTGGTGATTTTAATACTACTCTCCACGAGGGGGAGAAGGATGGTGGTTTGGTGTGGAGCGCCTCCCAAGCCCTTGGGCTGCGTGATTTTATTCAGGAGCTTGGTCTCCATGATCCAGGGTACCAGGGTGATATGTTCACTTGGACGAATAAAAGGATGGGTGTCGCCGGTGTTCGGGAACGCTTAGACAGGGCTCTTTGCTCGCAGTCCTGGGTTGATCAATTCCCGGAGACCCTGGTGAAGCATTTCACGGTCGGACCATTGTGCCATTGTCCTCTCTGACAAGGTTTACGTTCGTAATAATCGCCCCCTCTTTCGATTTGACGCTCGATGGGCCGATAATGCGGAGGTGAGAGCTATGGTTAACTATGTCTGGAAAGAGGAGATTCCTGCCACCCCTATGTTTCGACTTTGGGAGCGCCTAAAGAAGCTTCGCCATCTCTTATATGACTGGAGTAGGGCCGGCACCACTAATTCTTTACGTAATATCAAAACTCTTCAGGCTGAGATTGAGAGGATTAAAATGTCCCAACCAATTGATTGGGATACCATTAGAGGCCTAGAGGTTGAGCTTACTCGTCAATGGGAGGCGGAGGAGGTTTACTGGCAACAAAAATCTCGGGTGACTTGGCTCAAGAAAGGGGACAAAAACTCGTCCTACTTCCATACGGTGACTCGAACTCGACGAAAAAGGAATTTTGTGGCCGGTCTTCGAGATGAGAATGGAGTCTGGGTTACCGAGGAAAAGGGGAAGGCGGCTATTGCTACTGATTTTTATCAAAATCTCTTTACCTCGGAAGCCCAGGTCCCTAACATGGTTGAGAGGGTTGCTACCCTCCCTATCCTTCGGAGTGTAACGCCGGATATGAATGTTGTCTTGACAGCAGAAGTTGTACCGGAGGAGGATAGGAAGACTGTCTTTTCCATGGGGTCCAAGCAAGCCCCGGGGTCTGATGGGTTCACGGGAAAGTTCTTTAAAGCCTTCTGGGATATTGTAGGAGACTCGATCGTGGAAGCTGTTTGTTCGTTCTTTTCGTCGGGACGGTTGCTTCGAAGTTTTAACCATACTTGGTTGACTTTGATACCGAAGGTGGATAATGTGGAGACAGTTAAACAGCTTCGGCAGATCAGTCTATGTCAATTTGTGTATAAAATTGTCACAAAAATCATGGCTGAAAGGCTGGCCGGTTTTCTCCCGCAAATTATATCAGATGGGCAGAATGCGTTTATCAGGGAAAGGCAAATTATTGATAATATCCTCTTGGGTCATGAGTTGATGCATTATCTAAAACTTAAAACGCGAGGCAAGAAGGGATACATGGCTTTAATGGTTGACATGGAAAAGGCCTATGATAGAGTCGAATGGTCTTTTCTTCTTGCGGTTTTGGATAAAATGGGCTTTAGCTCGGTTTGGCAGGAGTGGATACATGAATGTTTGCGGTCGGCATCATTCTCAGTGCTTATGAATGGTTCCCCTTCGGGGTATTTCACTTCTTCAAGAGGGTTGCATCAAGGGGATCCGTTGTCCCCCTTCCTGTTCGTTTTGTGTACGGAGGGATTTGCGGCGCTAGTGCAAAAGGCTATAGCAGAGAAGAAACTAGATGGGGTTAAAGTAGCTCCGCGTGCCCCCAAGATCTCGCATTTGTTCTTCGCGGATGATTCCTACCTATTCCTGCGTGGTACTCTCCAGGAATCTGAAAATCTGATTGAGGTCTTAAATGAGTATGACGAGCTTAGTGGCCAACGGGTTAATTTGGCTAAGTCGGCAGTGTGCTTTAGCAAGAATATTGCGTTGGCTGACCAGGAGTTCTTGGCTACTATTTTGGGGGTTGGAGCGGTTGGGGTCCATGATAAGTACCTGGGTTTGCCTACGCTTATTGCCCGATCTAAGATGGCGACTTTCAGGTATTTGGAGGAGAAATTATTAGAGCGATTGCAGGGTTAGAAGCAAAGGACTCTGTCTTTGGCTGCTAGAGAAACTCTGACTAAGTCAGTAGCTTTGGCGCTCCCATTACATGTTATGTCATGCTTCAAACTGCCTCGCTCCCTGTGTCGTCTTTTGGACAAGCATGTGGCCCGGTTTTGGTGGGGGATGGGCCAGAACATTTGAAGATCTGTTGGGTGTCGTGGCGAAATATGTGTAGGAGTAAGCATGATGGAGGGATCAGGGATAGGGTTTCGGAGGTTCGAGCATTTTAACCAGGCACTGTTGGCCAAAATTGGGTGGCGTATTCTGGAGGACCCCCAGTCCCTGTTGGCCCAGGTTTATAAGGGTAAGTACTTCCCCAGAGGCACTTTCCTGCAAGCGACAGCTCGGTCCCGCCCGTCGTGGAGGTGGCAAAGCATTTTGTTTGGTAGGCAGTTGCTGGAGAAGGGACTTCGATGGCAGATTGGGAATGGCCGGTCAGCTTCCCTACTCCACTCTAACTGGATACCAAGGCTCCAGCTGGATCCCCCAAGCTACAACCCTCGGGTATTACCAGAGGGGGGAGATCCGCGGGTAGAGGAGATCCTGTGTCCCGGTGAGGGTAAATGGTGTGACCTTAAACTCTGCCAGTGGTTTGATCCACCAACCTGCCAAGCCATTAAAGCGATCCCTCTGCCGCGCAGAGATGTGGAGGATAAGTTGATTTGGCATGATACAGTGGATGGGGTTTTCTCTGTGAAGTCCGCCTACCATCTGGCAGTCTCATTGGATAGGAGGGAGGGGAAATGGAAATCGTTGGCCAGTTGGATGGATAGGGCTAGTTGGATTCGCTTGTGGAATGCTGATATTCCTCCTAAGTTAAAAGTTTTTGTCTGCCAAATTTTTAACCGGGCTCTCCCAACGACAGAGGCGCTAATTGCGAAAAAGGTTCATGTCCACCCCAAATGCCCGATCTGCTGGGAAGGAGCAGAGACTATGGAGCATCTTTTCCTTGATTGCCCTGTGGCCCGTGCCCTCTGTGGGTACTCGGGCATGGAACATCTAGGGGAGGGGTTGTCTCGGCATACTTTCCCGTTATTTCTGAAAAGGTTGCTGGCGCTGATTCATTCTCCGGTGTTGTTCATGGCGGTTGTAACCCTCCTGTGGCGGATTTGGTGATCCCGGAACTGGGTAGTCTTTGACGGTAAGCAGTTCGGGTTCCCAGCTTTGATGCGTCAATTTCATCAACAGTATGAGGAATGGGTTAGCATGTCCCCAGCTGCAGTGGCACCGTCGGCCAGGCCTTCTAGAGTCTCTTTGGCTGGTGATAACAGGGTAGTTTGTATGTGGGATGGAGCCACAAAAGTTGGGTAACATTCGGCTGGTGGGATGGTTCTTTTGACTCCGGACAGGGCGATCCTGTTGGTTAAGGGCATTCAGTTCCAATCGATAGATGATCCAATGGTGGTAGAGTTACTGGTGCTGAGGGAGGCTATCGTTTGGTGTCTCGAGCTAGGATTCGTGGAGGTCCGATTGGAGGGGGATGCTAAAGTGATCATTGTCAAAGTCAACATGGCGGATACTAGGGATAATAGGGTAGGGGCGGTGCTTGAAGAGATAATGTACTATGTTCATGCCCATGCTGGTTTGGATGTTCGATTTGTAGGTCGGAGTAACAATAGGGTAGCTCATTTGGTGGCTAGAAATGCCATTTCTTTGTACCCGGCTATGAGTCGTCACTTTGGTTTTTGGACCTGGCTTAGCTCCAGGATGTAACTATCGTTTTTTCTATCAATATATGATTATCTTTTGTCAAAAAAAAAAAAAAAACTAGTTGTCTGACGGCTGAGTTACCGGATTTTTCCCTAAATGTGTGCACGCAATTTGAACTTTACCGCGTTCGTCCAACGATCGTGGCGCGTCTAGCGCATAATCAATAATTTTATCTTTCATACCACATTCTCACTTATCAGTCGTGAGCACCATAGCCAGATTGCTCAATGCAATCGCGAGTTAGTCAATAAAGAAACCAAGAAGTGTGCTCTTGGATAGATCCTCCCGCACACAATCAGTACCTCCTCTCCGACGCATTAATCAATCGGGGGTGGAGCCCGCCTGTCAGAGATCACAGTCACAATGCCTGTGGAGAGTGGAGACCCCAAGATTTGTCCAAAGCATGGGACAAACGGACTCACATAATTAGGCTAACACTTCACAGTTCACACTTGTCAAGCAAATCACCAAACCCTACTACTACAAGATAGAAATTAGATGGAGATATTATTGCGCGGGTCCCATCTCCTTCCCCCACGTCCTTTCATCCTTATCCATCCTTGATCCTTCCCCCATTTCCCATTTTTTTCACCCACTGTAAAATAGACAAATCCAGATTCCAGTCTAATACGTTTACAGTAATGATCTTATTTTAACCGTCTCCTTGACAGATATTTTAGCTCCCCCAAAAAGCCTCTATATATTCCACCCCAGAACCTCCTTCAAAAGAACCCACTCAGCCATCAGTCCACCACACTCAAAAGACACTAAACAAAGGAAAGAAGAAGAGATCAGGAGCCATGGTTCTGCTGGATAATATGTGGGACGACGTCCTGGCCGGACCTCAGCCGGAGCGCGGCCTCGGCCGGCTCCGGAGAATCAAGCCCCTCAACGTCGGTAAAGAACTAAAAAACCATACTGCTTTCCCGCGATCGGACCTTAGATGCATACATATGTTTTTTTCCCCTAGGTTTGTGTTTGCGTGCAGATATATTACCGTTGTCGTTGTTGTTGTTGTTGTTGTTGTGTTGTTGTAGATGGGGAAGGGGCGAGCACCACCAAGTTCCAGAAGTCGCTGTCCATGCCGGCGAGCCCGTCGACGCCGGTGACTCCAGGGACGCCGGGAAGTACTCTTCCGAAGGAGAACGTGTGGAGGAGCGTGTTCCATCCCGGGAGCAACCTCGCCACCAGGTCCATCGGCGCTCATGAGCTCTACGACAAGCCCTCTCAGCCCAACTCTCCCACCATCTATGACTGGTACGTCAAATTCGTTGATAAGCACTGCAATTTTTCATTTATGTTTCATTGCTGAAACTGTATGCGTCTGACTTTGGCATGACGGTGGTGGCGGGCTGGCGGGCAGGCTTTACAGCGAGGACACGAGGAGCAAGCATCGCTAGATGGTGAAAGATGACGATGTCGAGGTGGCAAGATTACTACTACTATGATGAGCTGATATGAATGGATGAAACGTTAACTGAGATCCTGTCCAGTGCTATATGTAAATAGTGCCGTTTTGTGGGTGCTGCTGCTTGCCTGCTTCCGTTTTGTGCTGCTTTTCTTTGAAATGCTTTCCATGACCAACCACCAGTCCACCACTAGCTGTTAATCTGTGTGTGAGAGAGAACATCTTGTGATCATATGATATATGAAAAGTAAGATCCTCAGTGTGTTTGTGTTGTATGTTCGATCCAATGAATGGAAACTGATCTAATGGTATTATCGCTGATATTAAGTTGAGGATCTAAGAGGATTCAGTCTCGATAGTAGCTGATGTATATCAACTAGGAAGAAACCAAAGATGGCAACATGTGATTTGGATAAGGGAGACTTGTGAGGATGTGGGGGTCAACAAGTGATCCGACGAACTCAAATGGATCCAACCTTGGACAGTATTGAATCTATGGGCACCACCAAAATAGATAATTGGGCAGGTGCGAATATTTTAATGGATAATAATGAAATGAAATTTGGACTGATATGGGAAGAGATTTACATTTGATTCGATCTATAATATAATATAGGATATATCAACTAGATTTTAATAAAGTTATCCTGATGATGGCGATCGGTGTAGGGTTTTGGTGGAGATAATTAATTACAATTTATCACTAAATGGAGCTCATAATGATGGGTTGTGTCGAGTTAATTAATGTAAGCTGGTAAACGTCTTAATCAAGGTTGATTGGTGGAATTTTTTTATTTGATAACCCAGGGAACCTCGGCCCTACGTGTCCACTTGAGCGACAGCGAGGCCTATTAAATTACTGGGGTACTTGCATACTAATCGGGGCTTTCTGCTACCAACATATCAATGTTAAAGGTGCCGCCGGAACACTTGATTGGTGGAATCTTGGGGGGTGGTAGGAAATAAAATATCTTTGTGATTGAATATCAAATTATGACGTGTAATATATATTATTTCTATATATGTATACAATATTGATGGATGGTTGAAGGGACCGTCTAATCCTAAATCTCAAGTTAAAAGCCAAGTAAGCTACGAGAAGGACAAGAAAACACTTGGACGTAACAAGACAACAACCATTCCAAAAATTTCAGCTAGTCATAACCCCAATCCAACTTAGTTGCGTATTGAAGAAACTTTGTGAATATTGAATAAGATTTAAATCACTATGGGAATGGATTGATGTTCTACTGTACATTACGATAAGTCGAACGATTAGTAATACACCTAAATAACCGATCCAAGCCATCCATAAATAGAAGAGGCATTATCGCTCTTGCCTCTTTGTGACAAATCGTTTTTGCTTTCTTGGGCTTGAGTGCTGAGCCTGTACGTGGGCTTACACATTGAACCAGTTAACCTTAATGGGCTTGAAAGATAAAGCCTGTGAAGGCTAGCGTTCGTGGGCCTTCCAATGCTACTGTTGTACCATTGGCCTGAAACATACTGAGATACTCTCACAATCCACGTGTGGCCATGTTATTGGCTGCTCTTTACCCCCGGACATGGAAATGAATTGGACTCTTCGCTTCGGCAGCGGTGCTCGAAAGACCGCGGAAATGTTTCTCTGTCCGATTTTGCGGGAGACGAGTGGTCTTCTCCAAATGATCGATGCGGCGGGCGGCCGGTTTCTTCAAGATCGGCGTCTCTGATTCCCGGTCCTGCTTAATTTCCCCGGCGACCGTCGCGATTCCGTCGAGGCTGAGCGGCGTCGTTCTGCGCTGACGCCGTTGCCTCGAAATTCGTCTTTCAGTAACTGAAAGTCATCCACCACATCCGCTTCCGGACAATCATTGCCGCCGCGAGTTGCCTTGAACTCTCCCGATTTTCTTGTTCTTCTCAGTGTCATTTTCGGCTTGCCGGCAGTCATGAACTTGCCGGAAACTGTCGATTCCGTGCGGAGGTTGGCCGCCATGGTCAGAGTCTCTGGACCTGTAAGTTGCTGCTTCTTCCTTCCCTCTTAGTGATAGTTTCCCGATGAAGACGTAGCTGCCTTCAATTCATGCCGTTTCCTTCTTTCTTGAATCTTCTTTAGGATCCTCACGGGCGGAAGATGCGAAACCATGCTTTTCACCTTTACAAGTGAGCTGTTAAATGCTTCATGAAGTAGTTTCTGTTGTTTGCATATTCGGCCTTTTCGGTTCTCTATGTTCTCATGGAGTGTCATTCATTTCCCTGGAATGTGTAGTTCTGGTAAAACTACGCTTTCGGCTTCGGCTGTGCTGTTGCCGGAAGGCTTTTACGACGCTCACGCGGTCAGCCGGATTCTGCCGGGCTCCGATAGTCGGGGCTTAGGTCTGCTTCTCACCGTCGCTTCTGTTGTGGAGCCTTTTGTGGCGGCACACCATAGGCAAAGTACTCCTCAGGTTGAGTCACTGTGATTTTGCGGAGATACGTGATTGTATTTGGTCTTACGGTTAGGAAGGTCAGTTGGTTCTAATGTCAGTTTTTGGGTCTCATTGTGTTGATTCGTTGAACAGGGCTTACCTGATCTGATTCCTGCAGCTAAAATCCATGTTATGTTAGAGGTATGTGAGATTGAGATGCTGCTTATTGCAATAAGTTGTTCACTTGTTTGTATGAATTGGATAGTGGGATTGATAGATTGCTAGTAATCCTCAGGGTATGTTGGAGTTGGAAGAAAGTGTGGAGGCGGTTGAAAATGGAAATTCTCCTTGGATCTCTGCAAAACTTTTGAGATTGGTAAGCATTTGATCTTGTTTGTCGCTTGATTGTGAACTATGTAATTGCTGCAATCATTGAATTGTGACTCCTTTGTACCTGTTGTGGGTGTATATTCTTTACTCAATTTGTGTTGCATGAATGGGGATGTTCTACAGTTACTGAACGGTTTATTGTGAAGGTTGATGTTCCAGCCTCTTCATTTTCCCTCCAATCGCTCATTGAAGCTTCTCCAGACTCAGCACACCATGGATGGGAGGCTGGTTGGTCCCTTGCAGCTAATGGTAACGCTCCTAAGTCTTATGGGGAATCTCTGAACTCATCTACGCTTGAAGGGCATTTAGAAACCGAGGAATCTAGGGATCCTTCTTTTATGAGTAGGTCGATTACCAGACTTGCTGTTCTTGGGATCCCCCTGCATCTGAAGGTAAAGAAGTCACCTGGTTGTGAGTTATCGATGGATACATAGTCTGTTTTCCCCCCATTGTATGACTTCAGCTGATCTGTATCTGCATATCATATTTTCCTCCAGAATCTTCCTAAGGTTGCTGTAGCAGCATTGACGAAAAGAGTAGACTTCATTTTTGCCGTGGGTTCCCCTTTTGGTATCGTGTCACCAATGCATTTCTTTAACAGGTCTGTTTTGCTTGCTTTGCTGTTTATAGTTTCCATTTTCAGTTGATGAAATACTTGAAGCTTTTATGTACTAAAGGGACCAAGCTTTGAAACTTGGATTATCTTAGTGTCATAGTTGCTAGGAAAATTTGAAGGCTACTACATTGTTGTTCTTGTTAGTTACAGGAATTTCTGTTGTTTCTATTTCTTTGGAATTTAATGGTCAAAGGGTCTTAATTTGTGCTTAAAATCCATCACATAGAAGTGATATGCAGTTTGAAGTATCTAATTTGGAATGAGTATAGGGTGGCTGTTCCCCTTAAGCGCACTGCTGCATGATGTCGGGCTTCAAATATCATAATTTCACTTTGGCCTACTGTTAATAAGAAGAAGCATCTATACCTTTTCTGAGTACCCTTATATATGTTGGTTTTGAGTTGTCTTGTGATCCTTGAACCAGCGTTTCAGTGGGGTCCATTTCCAACCATTATCATTCACCTGGATCACCTAATACATCATTGATAATGGCTGACATCCGCTGTCTACCTGGTGAGAATCTATCTTATAATGACTTTCCTATTGTTCATCTTTGTACATGTCACTCTATCCTCACTCCAGTTTGAAGTTGATATTCCAGGTACTGAGGGTGGCCCAGTTTTTGATAAATATGGATGTTTTATTGGAATCTTGATTAGACCATTGAGGCAAAAGAGTACTGGTGCTGAAATTCAGGTAACTTGAAAATATGTCCTTATACTACTTTCCTCTTTTGAAATCTGTTTGTTACTGGATCCCACAAATCTAGCGTTTGGGTAAACAGCTGGTGACTCCGTGGGAAACGATTCAAAGTGCTTGCATTGACTGGTTGCTGAAGGAGCCTGAAAATGCAGCAGATGAAGACGCTCATATTAATAAGGGAAACTTAAATGCTGTAGGGGTGGTACACAATCATAACTCAGATGTACCTTCACTGGTGCCAGTGAAGAAGGCAATCTCTTCTATTTGTCTCATTACCATTGGCGAAGGTGTATGGGCATCTGGAGTTCTGCTCAATGAGAAAGGCTTGGTACTCACAAATGCACACTTGTTGGAGCCTTCGAGATTTGGAAGAACTACTGCTAGTGGAGGAGGAAATGAAATCAGATCAGACATTATTCCTTATCCGTTGTCTGGAGAAGATGTCCTCCAGAAGAATAAGAGGAAGTTGTTTAATGCACAAGAAGCTATAGTAGGTTCGTCCTACAATAATCATGGAATTATACGTGTTCGGTTGAATCATGTTGACCCGGGGATTTGGTGTGATGCGAAAGTAGTGTATATTAGCAGAGGGCCATTGGACGTTGCCCTTTTGCAGCTTGAAAATGTAACAGGTCATCTTATCCCAATCAGTGTGGATCTTCTGTGCCCAGCTTTGGGATCAACGGCTTATGTGATTGGGCATGCTTTATTTGGGCCGAGATGTGGTAATGATCTTTGCTTCGTACATATGTCTTTCCTGCTATTTTACATTCTGTGGAATATTATTTGTCCCATTGTCACACTCCCCCATCGACTGCCTGTGGGTTGCATCAGTTGCACTTGTGTAACATTTAAAGGTTTATTCTGAGATGGATATTTTTGCCTGGACCAATCTTGATAATAATCTACTTGCATCGAATTTTCAGGATTTTCTCCCTCTGTTTGCTCTGGCGTTGTAGCAAAAATAGTGAGGGCAAAGGCACCTTTCTATTATCAGGTTCTTCACGAAAAGGATTTAGAGATTCCAGCAATGCTCGAAACCACAGCTGCTGTCTACTCAGGCGGCAGTGGCGGTGCTGTTGTTAATTCAGATGGTCAAATGATTGGACTTGTTACCAGGTACACACATAATTACTGGCATTAGGAAATTCGGACTACATAAGCATCACGTTGATACTTGGTATACATATGAGAGTTGCATCGCTGAGTTTTTGTTGCAGTTTTATCGTGTTACGTTTGCTTTTTCATTGGTCCAAATTGTGTTGGCAAGTATCTAATATCAGTCAGAGGATTGTATTCCTATCCATCTTCCTTCCCAATTTCATTTGTTGTGCTAGTTTTGCTTTCTGCCTGAGTTTCTTGCTTCACGATGTCATCTGTGGAAACAGCAACATGAGGCATGGCAGAGGAACAATTATACCCCATCTCAACTTCAGTATTCCTTGCGCAGCACTGGCTCCGATTTTCGAGTTTTCAAAAGGTTAGTCATCTCATCTCTATTTGATATAGACCTCGAACCTAAATGATGCACCGCTTGAATTCGGATGGCATCACTTTCTTCTTCCTCCAGACATGGAGGACATTACGCTTCTGAAGCAGCTTGAACAATCAAATGAGGACCTTTCTTCAGTATGGTCCTTGGTGCCTAGACCGGGGCCGAGTCTTCCCCTGCCCCTGGACACCATTCAGGAGTCATTAAAGAAATCAAAAAAGGGTTCGCAGTTCGCTAAATTCCTAGTGGAAAGTGACAAGGTTTCCAGAAGTCCAGCTGCTGCAACTCAGCTTGGTGTGGTGGGAAGCAGCAGCAACAGTACAAATAGGGCCATTTTTCTCAGCAAGCTGTGAGTACTTGGAGATCTCACATGAATCAATTTCGTTAGAAACGATGTTCGATCTCGTTGTTACGATTAAGATGAATGAATCAATGGGAATGGCATTGTCCCATATACTCTGATGTAACGACCAACCACTAGATTGTGCAATTCAAACATGAAAAGCGATGGAGTAAGTAAGAAAAAAAATCCCTCTGCCAATTGGCAACTTAGTTTGTAAATTGTAATGTTCAGATGGCCTGATGCAGAGAAGATGTTGGAAATGCTGTTGGAAGTGCTGTATTTTTCAGTGTCTATGAGTATGTCCGTTATTACATGCACAGACACCTGAAGGGCGATTCTTCCAAATCCAACCACAGCAATCTGATGGACATGGGCATTGGAACCGTAACTGGAGGACTTGGTGGCTTGGCGGTATGCACACTAAACTTCGCAGTATGCATTTCTCTCAATCTCAAGGACCTTTCTAGCATCGTTAATTCACTTCAAATTTTGCAGTTCTGGTCGGTTGTACTATGACTTGATGTGGCGAAAACCATCATCCAAACTTCGCCAGACAACAACTCCACGAGGAATCCATTCAAGTCTTGAATGCAGTAAGATGCCACCTATCCCTCTGCAGAACTTGTGATGCAGAAATAAGCTCTTTTTTATCAGCATGACCTGCTAAGTTCTAAGTGTCTCCCTTTCTCTTATGCAGGCATACAGGAGCAACGGGGTGAAAGGATACTATGCAGGTTTGGGCCCCACGATTGTCAGCTTCCATCGGAGGTACGAATTCTTCCCCCATTTCTGTGTCTTGATGATTGCCGGTGTGACAAATATCAGCGAACAGAACAGCAGGCCTAGAGAGAACAGAAAGCTTGAATTTCCCCAAAACTTAAGACTGGCCATACTTGTTCTGGTTGCGGATCTGTTTAAAGATGAATAATTGGTACAGGGCAGACATCAAACTCGTTAAATCGATGTATGTAGAAGCGTTTTCATCAGGGAAACACGAAGATCAACACATTTGAAAGCTGTCTTTACAACAAAAGCTGGCCTTCTTGAAACGCAACTTTGTCTAGGAGAGGCAGAGGAGCAACATCGATCCAGAAAAGAGAAAAGCATCAACCATGAAACCCAGGTGTGTGGAATTTCTAAGAACTGATAGAAACATCTATTGATTAACTTAAACTCGAACATGAATACGGGTTGCTAAACATTGTACGACAAAGACAGCGGTACTTAAACGATGAAACTTTCTGATACAAGCTAATAGATAGTAGGCCAAACCCAGACCGGCGGCGGCCAAACTAGAGAAGGTTTTTCATATAAGTTGGTACAGCAGAGTGACTCAATCGTTCCATCACTGAGATTGTATATGCCCATATCATGACCATCGTGCCTCCGTCTTTTTTGCTTCTCGAAATAGTCGTCGGTGAAATATATGCAATTCGGTTTATACCCCGGGTGATCTTGGGTGGAGAGGCAAGCAGGGGTATTAGTACCCAAGAACAAAGCATAGTCACCAATGCTTTTGACCTCATCCCATTGATTCGTATCTTCATTGAGCTTGTAAACTGTAAACTCTCTGGTCTTGTAACTCCAACGGTCTTTCCACTCGTCATCCGAGTCGCTATCCCAAATGCACTCAACATTCTGATCATCGACCTCGTGCCTATCATCATCAACAACTTTTTCAGGAATCGACGGCGAGGCTCTATCGTCCTCGCCCACTGCATCCTCCTCTTCCTGGCCAGCATCTAGTTGTTCATCTCGGACACCAACAACATCCTCGCCTTCAACATGAATTCTGCCGACGAACATCAACTCATCAGCCGGACCTACAACTAGGTAGCTGTTTTCGTATAAGAGATGCTGAATACCCATCTCACGAGCGAGGAAGGACACATTGGGGATATCAAGATCACAAACGAGAATTCTGTTGTAGATCTCGACAGCATAGAATTTGTTCCTCCAGAACACTACGTTCTTATAGACAACCGGGGTGCCATCTTCGGTATTCGGAAGCAATGTCCACTTGTGATCACTTCCTCTAGGCTTGCAAAACGCTAGGGGTGGCTGTTCATGGCCATCAAAACACAGCCCTCCGCAGTGGGATCGTCCGACATCGCGAGCCGGTTCATGTAGTAAAGACTCCACGTACTTCTTGCCCATCGCCACCATGTCGAAGTACAGGAGCAGGTACTCGGCCCCGACTCTTTCGGGGCGGTAAGCCACAACATCTGGGAAAGTAGTGAGCGGTGGGAGCAACACAGGGATGCTCTGCACCATGAACAGCCACCCGAATGCCGAGCCCCGGCAGTTCGCTCGCTTCAGGCCGTTGTCGAAATCGAAGTGGTGATATTGGTAATTAGGCTCTCTATCTTATAGTTTCTTTGGAATTTTTTGATGCTTGTTGGATCTTTCTTCTAAATAATTCGACTCTGTATATATTACGAAAGAAGAATCGGCGAATCTCAATAATTCGACTTAGCGATAAAGGTATAAAAATCATGAACCTTTATATCATTATCTACACGCACTCTCAAACGAGAATAAATCCGTGGGATTACAATTTGATCGTGTCATGTTACTAATCAGTTCCTTGTCGGAATGTACTAATTTTTTGTGACAGATATGTCCCCTTCAATATCCCTCGTTTGGTCCATTTCAATCTGATTTCCTAAGTCGATATCGATTATTTTACCCTTATATCTAGTAATCACACAAACCAATAGAGAACTAATACCGCCGTTTGATAGGCAATGATCGATCTCGTAACCTCGTAATTTAAGGACGAGGTTGCCGATAACTTTTTTTTTTTTTGAAAGATAGGACTTTTATTCCACAATGAAACAAAGGAAGCAACAAATTATAGAAGTGGTGAGATCAAATCAGCAACAACAATCCAATCCAAAGGTAGCGAATTGACACGTGCATTCCGAGCCACCCAGTCAGCCAAACCTAATTAAGATGTTGCGGAACAAAATCCACTTTGATCCAAGGGGCTTCATGGATGAAAGAAATGATTATTGCCAAGGTTGCCCGACAACTTGATGTCGTAACTGACTGATAACTCTTCTCATTAACCGAACAAAAATGAAAACGAAAACGAAAACCTAGGTTTATCTAGCCCAACTCTACTAACATCCATGGGCAAGAAAAAAAAAGCAGGTGGGCAGCCCAAACTAATCTAATGGACCAAAAATTTTCACATGATCGTTTTGCAGCAATCGTTGGCCTGAGTAGACATCCGTGGGTCTCATTAAGCCTAATAACTAGAGAATTAGCTATTTTCTTGGGCCCGGTTGCCATTAAGCTCGCGGATCCGCCCATAAAAACTTCTGGCGGGCTGGACTTCTATAGTTGCGAGTAAATCGGATTAATTGCGATCTAAAGATTAATCAAATAGAGTAATTAAGGAGCACTAAATTACAAGTTGAGTAGTTGGGAAGAATGAATAAACCCTCCAACACACTTCCACCCAAAACGACAAACTAATTAACTAATTAATTAAAACTTTGTCATCATCATTTTGTTTCTGTTTTTATTAGTTAATATAATCGGGGTGTGGACGACAACTACACAACAACGAATGTTAATTAAAAATTATAATGATTAATTCTGAGTTTTTAGATAAGAGTAAGAAACACGTTAATATATGATTCTCTCTTAATGCTCATCAACTTGATTAAACTAATTCAATCATTCTAGCTTGAATATTATAAGCCAAAACCTTCCATCAGTGGCGCTAAATGCTTCTTGCTCGGTTGGGTTCACAATGTGTCTAGAACTAAATATTAATAATGATTTTAATAATTAGATGCATGATTACTTCTGCAATTCTAAACATATATGTAGTGAAATTCAAGATTCTGCATTACTAGAACAATCAGTCACATTATGGCCGTCAATATATTCAACTATGATTTCATGGGTAAAAAAATCATGCGCCCGCCACTTACCACTTAGTCACTTACCACATCTCCTTCATATTTTTATTATTATTTTATACGTAGAACAGTCATCAGTTTATAGTCATGTCTAATCTCATGAAGTGAACTTAGACATTCAACTATATATGTAAACGTGGAAAATACAGAAGAGTGGATGAAATTAACAATCGGTCGTCGAGGAAATCTGGAGATGCAAAGACGAATCTGGATTTGCTTTGCTTGGCCGTGTAATCAAGAATTTCCACCGCACACCAACAATTTGGATCTTTCCATTTGGTCTCTTGTCCCCCTTAATTCATTCCTTTCTCTAACCTTGAAATATGGAATGGACAGAGACAAACCCTATAGCTCATCTTTTTGGACGAATTCCAAATATACACATTTAAAAAAAAAATTATTTTCAAAATACACACGTTATAAATTGTTTTTTCAAAATACACATGTTTGGCATCACCGCTGTTGTCAACCGCAGTGAATGCATTCACCGCGGCATATCAAAGCGATGAATGCATCACCGCGGTTGACGGCCGCGGTGAATGCCCGACTTAACAATGAAACTTCAAACAAACATAATTTTGCGCTCAGTTATCCGATTGTAGCGGAAAAAAAATTTATTCCATATAACTTTTCAAGATCTTTCAATCTGAAACAAGACTTGAACTCAAAAAAATGTCGTTTGTTACCCCGAACGAGCAATTTTTCGATTTTGCCAAACTTTGGAAGGACATAACTTTTAGCTCCTCAATCCGAACGTCGTAAAGTTTTTTTTTATTGCGCATAACTTTTAAGAACTACAAATTTGACTAGGAAATAATTTTTTTAAAAAGAAGTATATTTGGGTATACGGGATTTTGGGAATAACTTTGTCTTTACTTTTCACAAATCCACATACTTTCCAAACAAATGGTTATAATCAAAGTTGTAGTACTTCAAAAGTTATGCAAAATCAAAAAAAGTTTCATGACATTCGGATTGTGAAGCACAAAGTTATGATCTTCTAAAGTTTGTAAAAATCAAAAAATTGCTCGTTCGGGGTAGCAAATGATTTTTTTTTTTTGGATGAAGTATTATTTTAGATTGAAAGATCTTGAAAATTTATGTGGAATAAAAAAAAATCGCTACAATCGGATAACCGAGCGCAAAGTTACGTTTGTTTGAAGTTTCAGTGTTACGTCAGGCATTCACCCCGGCCGTCAACCGCGGTGATGCATTCACCGCTTTGGTCTGCCGCGGTGAATGCATTCACTACGGTTGACAACAGCGGTGATGCCCAAACATGTGTATTTTGGAGAATTTTTTATAACGTGTGTATTTTAATAATATAAAAAAAACATGTGTATTTTGAGATTTTTTCCTCTTTTTGGGTTTTTTCTCCAAGTATTTAGCTTTCTGTAAGGATTGATTCCAACTTAGCCAATCAACCCACTAATTATAAAGAAAGACAAATTTATTTGCTCGTAAGTACGTAGATAGTGTTAGGCTGCTACTAAGAATTGATCCCAACTTAGCCAATCTAGCTAGTTGCAGTTGTGTATGGGGGTAAATGACTTTGGATCGAGGTTCGTTCATTAAGAAAAGATGAGACAACCACTAAAATCGTGGGAACATAAAAAAAAATATCGATTTCTATCTATTTACGACTATCAAATTTTATTGCAAGTGGTAGTCAATATATACTCTTTTTATTCAAATTTCATTGAATTTATCGTACGTAAATGTGCACGGTAGTCAACTATTAACCCGTTTTATTTCATTACGAAAAAAGGGGAAAACGAAATTTCCGAGTGGAACATCATCCAAGCACATTAAGCAGAAATCAAGAGTATACGATATATGTTAATTAGGGTTTTGCACCTGATCTACCTACTAAGTACCAAGATTAATCCTGTTAGTGTTGTGGAATATGATCCACGATTGAACATCTCCCAACAACTCGAGTTATTGGGATCAACTGGTTCTTGACATGGTATCAGAGTCTTCTGTGACCGAGAGGCTTGTGTTCGATTCTCGGTGACCATCATTTGTTAAGCACATGGTATTCTTGTCTTCAGACCTGTGCAAACTTCAAGCCCTTGTGAGTGGCTTTCGTTTGAGGGAGCGTGTTAGTGTTGTGGAATATGATCCACGATTGAACCTCTCCCAACAACTCGAGTTATTGGGATCAACTGGTTCTTGACAAGGCAAATCTAGAACATATATATACGATTCCTTGCGCGCGTTACACCAGCTGATCCTCCTCCTCACCATTTTGCTGCTATCATATATAACACTATAGCGCCACCATCAACATCATATCAAACAACAACAAAAGAAGGAAACAGACACGTACGCCAGCGGCCCAGCAAGCTAAGCTGCAGGCCCAGTTTCCTCTTCTCTCGATCGACGTGACCTTGCGGGGACTAGCATGCTGCTGCTTGTTGTTGTCGGCATATAATGGAAGTGGGAGGTTTGGAAAAAAGAATGGTTCCAAAATTGGGTTGGAGACCAGAACAAGAGAGATCTCCATCGATTTGTCCATGCATGGATTTTGTATCTATATATGAACAGCCGGCTGGCTGACAGTTACAGCAGTTTGGCCTTCGAGGCTATCTCTTAAATATCAAAAGTGTCTTCAGTTTCATTTTCCAAAATAATTTATAGGATTCTTGGTTATTACTATTATATATTGGAGCTTGCATGCGGAGATATTGGAAAGTTATGTACACAAACTAATAGGTTTTTGAATGATCGTCCGATCAATCGATCAATATATGGTGCAAAACCTAAGGATAGGTTATGGAGACCCATATGGGCTCTCTATAGATAAGCCTAATACAAAATTGTACGTTCCGCGCGCGCAATAGACCTGAATGAGGATATCGCAGTTGGAGGGTACGACAACCGCAACAACGTAAACATAGCGCATGAGTATATGTTCAATCTTCAATGAGCTTGCTTTGTTGGATCATTAGTTGAACTACGTACATTGATCAGTCGTTTGAATCCCATTTTCCAAATGGCCAGCTCGCGACTCGTTCCTTTGAACTTGAAGTTAACACGGCCTCTTTATACCTTATATAATTATAGGCTAGCTTGTTTCATAACTCTTTTAATATGGTTCTACGATGAGGTATGCTGGTGGTATACAATGTTGTACATAGGTGGTACGCTAACTATGAACATGATATGTTACGATATGGACGATATAATGTTGTACGACAACGATGAGATTTTATAAAATTATGCATATCAGGATTTTGCCCCCGGCCGACTCTTGAGAACCCATCTCATGATAAAAATTTCCTCCGATAGTGGGTGGTGGCTGAACATATCACACGCAAATGGGTTGTTGGCTTTGGCTTATTGAGGTGTGTATGTTAACAGTTGATGGTCCCTCTTACCCTCTCAATTTGCCATTGCCTTTTTGTATTCCTATGGGGTGCAGGGTTGGCCAGACCAACGTGCTTGTTGGGTTCCTATCAATGTTATGTGTTGGGCAAAACTATAGCTTTACATATTTATACACAACACCCTTTAGTGGGAATCGATCGATATTATCCCA